CGTGACTGGCCGCACAGAGTCCTGACCTCAACCCCATAGAACACCTTTGGGATGAATGAGAGCGAAGACTGCGAGCCCCTCCCCCAACATCAGTACCTGACCTCACAAATGGTCCAACTAGCGGCAAAGGGCGGAGCCAACCCAATACTGAACCCTACGGACTAAGACTGGGATGCCATTAGAGTTCATGTGCGTGTAAAGGCGTCCCAATACTTGTGGCAATATAGTGCACATTATAACAGAGGTATTGTTACCTATTATTGTCATAACTCCTTCCTCCCCACCTCCCCCCAGCTGTTCACTTTCCCTGGTTTTTGTTTTAACCATTTATATCAAAATATCTATTTATATGATCGGCATAAAGATTTGGTGACTTTGGTGGTAATAACCATACAAAGGACAAGGCGGCATCCGAAATAGAAGAAGGAGAAGAATCCTCCTCACCAACCTAGGAATCTCTCCATCATTCAGGATGAGGCGAATCTCCGCCAAGCAGTTTTGGTTTTTCGGTCCTAATTGGGGGCCACTTCAGGAAACAACTTCTTATTGACCACACACGGAGAGCCGGATCAATCAATTGCCTTAAAATAGTTCCCACTTTTTCCACGTTATTACTCTCCAGTGTTTAGAACCGTGAATGTCGTTAGTTGGAAGCAAATCGTTCCGTCCTTTCTTAAGTTCCGTCATTGATTTTGCCATTACTATCTCCTGCGGTAAGGAATTCCAGCAGCTGGACCGCTCTTACCGTAAAGACCCCCCCCATCCCCCTCCCTGTGCTGATGGTAAATCTTATTACAAGTCTTCTTTTCTTCCGCTGGTACCGGCCCCCTAATGTATGACCCGGGCCTGACACGTGACAGGTGTTGCAGGCTCGTCTCTCTATGGCCTGGTAGGGTCAGCATTGCATACACACCAGATTTTGGCTTTGTGCTTCCCCACTGTAAATTCTTCTTGGTGAGTCTCACCTTTACCCCACCTATCCTTCCCATAATAATATACATATGGTCTGCCCTTTAACCCTCTCCTAACCAAAGGTCATTGGAGGCCAGAGGCCCAGGCCGAATTTAGCAGTGTCATCAAGGACACATAAAGGGGTTTTTTTGGTACACGTCTTTATTACATTTCCATCTATTTTCATAATATAATTCTGAATGAACAAAGACTTTTCTTTAAAAAAAAATTGTTTTATTTACATTTACCTTTCCACTGCTCTACTCTTCTATCTGACCTCCGTCCTTCCCTTCAGTCTTCTATCTGACCTCCGTCCTCCCCTTCAGTCTTCTATCTGACCTCCGTCCTTCCCTTCAGTCTTCTATCTGACCTCCGTCCTCCCCTTCAGTCTTCTATCTGACCTCCGTCCTTCCCTTCAGGCTTCTATCTGACCTCCGTCCTTCCCTTCAG